CGCTGCTGTCATCGCCGACAATGTTACCGATGATATTATTACCGCTCAAAGCTAAATCTATATTAGTCTTTTTACTTTCACGAGTGCAATTAGCTTTCTTTGGCAGTGATGATGCTGAAGCTGGTGTTGTGGATGCGTCAGCCGCAGGTGTCATACTTGGTGATTTTCGCGTGTAAGAACTGGAGATACCTTGGGTTGACGCAACGGCGATGTTTCTATTACCGGTAGTATAGTCCAATGCGTTCCCCATAACGTTACCGATCATATTTCCCATCGTGTTGCGAACGCCATCAATGCTGCTAGTGTTGATGGCGGAATTACTAACAATCGTGCTACTGGCTATTGTGGGTAATGTGGTATTATTTGTCCAGGTATATTGTAACCCGTTCTCTGCAAAGCTAACGTAGTTGCGTGACATTATATCCAGAGTGGGCCATATTGTACATATATTTTGCTGGGCACTAGAAATCATTGGTGCAAACAAAGCAGCAGCATAATCTGAATTGTAATTGTGGCCTATGAAACTACCAGCTAAACTAGTAGATGGACCTGGCAATATAGTCTGCGGAATGTTTTGCCGACTGGTACGATCTATTTTCGCCTTTTTTGCTACCGGAGCGTCTTCGTCCGGTGTAGCAAGTGATTTTCGGCCATTTGCCGACATTGAGCGACCGATGTTCACTGGCGAGTGTCGCGGACCCATCCCAATTGCCAGATTGTTATACTGGCTGCGAATTTTGTGTTCTGATTTGCACCATCCGCGCAATGTGGACTCAGCGACTCCGATATCTCGAGCAACAGAGGCTTTACTCTCGCCACCGTGGACGCGATCAATGGCGCTTACTTTTTCCGCCAGCGAAAAATTCTTAATGTGACGTTTCTCTGGGCGTGATTGGCCGTTCCTCGGCGCCGCTGCCATCACCTGCATGGTGGTGCGGCCTCCTTCATCCACGATGAGGCGAGTGTTGTCAGTCGGCTGGTCATTGGCTACGTTCTCGTCGATGTGTGTCCCGTCGTTTATTGTACGGTGGTCACGTGCCCGTCATCTGCTACAATCACGACCGTGATCCATGAGGGACTGCATCGCGAAATCCAGTTTGAACGGATAACGATCCACTTTGAATTGCTACGATCTTTCCGTGCTTTCTGGGTAAACCTTTCTTCACGTTCGCGCAAATTCACACTCACGTGA